GTTGTCGGCCATCCCCCGCCGTGCGCTCTCCACTCGGACTGCCGACAGCATCCACGCCGTCACCTGCAGGAGAAGGGACCGACGTTGTTTGCTCGTTGCCTCCGGCCAATGTAGTAATCGTGCCGTCTGGCGGTGAGGGGACGCACCCTGCGGCACTTTCGGGCTTAACTCCGTCCCCTCTGCAGTTTCCTCTTTTACTGGCGGTGACGGTGAAGGCCCATGTTTTTCTGCGACCGTCGTCGTTACTGCCCCGCCTCCGACTTGTATTTTTGAGTTCGGCGGCTGTGTCCCTGACAGTGATGAATTCCTTTCCCACGCACCATCGCCACTGCCACCGCCACCGCCACGGCCCGGCGGCGGAGCTGGAGAAGAACCGCCACTCCGCCCAGCCTCTTCGTCTTCCTCTTCACTGTCGCCGTCAACTTCTTCTTCCGCATCTTCAGTCTCCAATGGACCCGGAACTGATTCCCCTTTCTGTTCAGTTGGGCCTGTGCCTACTGTTATAGGTGTGGGCGGTTGGCCTTGAAGGGGTGACCCTTCTTCCTGCGGCAGCGCAGACAGTCCTCCTGCTGGCGGCGCCGGCCTCGAAGGGGCATCGATTGTCTCCTTCTGCTCCGGCTGATCCGTAGAGGAGCCTCTCCCTCCCGACACTGTCCCCTTCCCCTCCTCCGTACTCTGCTTTTCGCCCAGAGGGTCGGCCGGCGGATTATCCTCTTGACTCTGGACTCCGGAAACAACCCCACTCGCGGTGTGGATGCCCAATCTAGTGGACACATCCTTCCTCTCATCGCCCTGCAGACTCGCCCGAAGCCCACGCACAAACTCCGGCTTGCGGCCGCAGTACTTCGCACGAATTTCCGCGTCGGTCATGTCCGTCGCGACGGCCCGCAAGTCCCTCCAGTCGCTCTCCGTGCAGTAGTCCACCTCTGACGCCCGGCCACCGCCGGCGGCGCAGCACAGCGCGCAGAGGGCGCACACCAACAGCGCACGGCCAGCCATCGCCACTCCTCCCACCGCGGCACAACACACAGACACACACACGCACAGCGTCTAGCGAGGGGCAGAAAGAAAACGAGAGAGAAAGGGACAAGCACACACAGACATGAGCAACCCGCGGAATGGGTGCATTCGACCAACGCACGCCAACAGAGAAAGAAGAAATGGTCGACGCATTGCCGTCCCGCTAGGAAAGAAAAAAAAAGCAACGGCAGAAGAAGGTTTTGTGCGCGTTCCTCCGCATGTGCCTTCACGAGAGCCCGCAGCGGGGCCCAAGGGCCCCTTCCCTCCCGCCACACGCACGCACGCACACAAAAAGACGAAGTGGACGTGCCGGAGGCCACCACCGCGCCCCTCGCGCCCCCTTCGCAGCGCCCACGTCGTTTGCTCCCCGACCCCGCGAACTCCCCTCCCCGCGGGACTGTCGCCGGACGCCACGCAGCCCCACGCGGCACTCACCCGCAGCCGCCGCTAAAAACGTCGCCGGCGGCGGCCGCCCCCTTCCCCACCGAAGCGCCCAAACTTTCCCCGAGTCCTCCGGCAGCCACGCACCCGCCGCCTACGCCGCGGCAGTTGTTGGCTTTCCTGCCGCGCACACATCATGCGGGACGCCGTGCGAAGTGACGCTGCCTCCCGCAGGCGTCGTGCAGTTTTTGTTTTCTTTTCGACTCAGCACGACCGTCCGCGCCTCCGTGGCGGCGACGGATGTCTGCGGCAACGGACGAACCCCCCGCGGCCGCACTCCCTTCACACGCACACACACACAGAGAGAAGTGGTGGGGGCGAGGCGCAAAAGACAGCCCCGCACACACGCCGCAGCAGGCGGCACGGCGCAGGTGAAGTGCGAAGCCCCCGTCCTGCGAGGGGGAAGGGGCGCGGGAGGAGAGGCCGGCCGCACACCGCACGCCCAACAAGGCACGCAGGCGAGAGGGACGGACGGGCCCACAGCCCGCCGCATCGTCTGCCGCTGCTCTGCCGCAGCGGGGAACAAAAACAAAAAGAGCCGCCGTCGTCACAAACCAAAGGTGCCTCTAGCGGGGATGAGGAGGAGGAGGAGGAGGAAATGGAGGTGTGTCGGCGGCACAGCCAGCGGCGGCGAAGAGCAAAACAGGACACGGAGGCACGCAGCAGCGGCGGCGGACACGGCGCACAAACTCAAAGTGCGCTGCAGTGAGTGGCCCCAACAAAAAAAAAATTAGTCGCAAAACAAAGAGGCGGAAGTCCAGCAGGACTCAGGAGAAAACAAAAACAAAAACAAACAAAAAGATAAAGCAAAATTACTTCGGCAGGGATTTCTTTATGCGGCCCAAAAGCACAAGAGGGCTGCGTATATATTCATCACCTGCGCGAGAAGGGGGAAAAAAAGGCTGTCTTGCAAACTGCCCACGCTCGCACACGCAAATCACATTTGCACCTCGCGGTGGCCGCGACCTCGTGCCTCACTTGGGCAGTCCGTGCGGGGCGCACAGCCACGAGGCCGCGGCCACCGCGTGTGTGTGAGGGTGGGTGGGTGACAGCCGCAAACAGGAGGGGAAACTCGTCGCTCGTGGAATTGTGTATAGAAGGCAACCAGAGGGGAAGGAGAAAAAGGAAAAAAAACAGAAGGGAGGGTTGTCCCACAGGGACAACAAGCAAACTGAGCACGCAAAGAGTACGCGTTGTCCACCTTCCAGGGAGCGTGTGCGTGTGTGCGCGGTTGCTTCTCACCACCTACGCAGCAGCACAGGCAAGGGCAGCCGTGAGCAGCAGCAGCAGTGGGGCACGCACAAAAAAAGTGGTTGTGACGTCACTGCCGTCCGCGTTGCTTGGCGCTGCGCTCCCGGAGGCGGCGGCATTAGCAAATGGCCGGTTGGCCGGTGCAGAAGCACCGTCCTTCGCACCAGCGGGGGCGACAGCACCGTTGGTGGCCGCAGGAGCGACTTCGGACGCATCGGCCCGCGCGGTAGGCGCGGCGCCCTCAGTGACGGTGCTGGGGCCCGCCGCCTCGCCCTGCTGCTGCGCCTCGGCGGCGGCTGCCCCGCGTCCCTCCGCCGGGGTTAGGGACCCTCCACCGCTCTCACCTCCGCGCAGCGGCGGCACAGCGTCGGGTTGGCCACTGCTCTGCGCCGCCGCCGCCCCTTGCGTCTGCCCTTCGCTCTCGGGCGGCCGGGCGCCGGCAGTGGACTGCGCGGGGTTTGTCGAGTCACTGTTGGGTTCAGTCGTCGTTGGACCTTCCGCACCGCCTCGCTCTTCTTCACTGCC